ATGATAGATGTTGAAGAGAATTTAGACTTCGGTCTACGAAACTTGGGATACAGCGAGTTTAAGAAGAAGGCCAAAGAAAAGTTGTCAAGGCATGTATCAGTGGGAAGGACGTATTTTTAGCTTCTCCAACGTGATCAGGCAAATCACTTTGTTTTAAGATTGCCTCGTTTGTATTCGAGGGATTTGCTGTGGGAGTAGCGAATGCTGAGAAACGTTCAAGTATATCTTCTGATAAAAATGGGCTGGGTAGGCAACACACATGCAACACCTCGTGCCATAAAGCTGCTGAAATGTTTCGTCCTCGAGGTAGATTATGTTCTGGAGGTTTTAAGTTTGGATTGAGCAAATGTGATTTTTGCCGCATATTTCACACTGAGAGGTCACAACACGCATTTTGTCATTGTTATTGATTTTTTGTGATTATCCTTTCTGGTCTCTCTATCGACATGATTTGCCATCTGATGTGAGTAGCATTTTCTTTGACCTCTTGTAAGGCCCTTCATTGTGGCTAAATAAGGGTTTTAGGTTGTTTAATACCCCCTGCAAATGGCTCCTCTGAATAACTAAAAACGGTTTTCTTTTCTCCACGAATGTGATGGTTGCCTGCAATGTTTTGTCATGCTGGGCCCAGCTTGTTCATAGCGGTTTTGGCGCGATACATTGTCATATTAATCCACAAGAGCGTTGAGTTCAACAGCTTGATCCTGTAGCAAAGGAGAAGTCAAGTTATCTTCACAAAAGGATTCAATATCCAAAGAACGCAGTTTCCTATAGTACAGCTTTTTCTTCGTGAAGTGCAGTTTTTGTATTCGCAGGTTGCAATGAACCGCACAGTGATCCGAGATTACAGGGTTGAAAATCTTGATTTCAGTAATGAGAGGATTATCTTTTTTAGAAATTACAAGATCCAAAGTGTGTCCTTTGGCATGAGTTGCTCCAGTGACGTGTTGTTTTAGGTTGCAAGATTCAAGAATTTCATTAAAGCGGTTTGCATAGGTGCTACAGGGGTCATCAACATGTAAATTGAAGTCACCAGATATTAGTAAGTGACCAGTGGATTCAGCCATAATTTGTTCCAGAAGCACTAATAATTCTTCAAGAAATAACACACATAAGGTGTTATCAGGAGGGCGGTAAATAAGCAGAACTCTAATGGATTGAAGACTTCTAAAGTGAATATCCATGAGTTCAAATGTCGTAAAGGTATCGGTGATGTGACTGTTTATTTGGAGTGTGTCCTTAAATAACAAACTAACACCTCCGCCTCGGGAATGACCCCTCGGAACATGTAAAAATCTATAGCGATCTGGACATAAGGTTCTAATCTCAACATCATTAATGTTACCAGGACACAGCCAAGTTTCAGTGAGAGCCAAAATATCAATGTCTTGATCAAGCACAAGGTCTTTAACTGCCATTGCCTTGTTCTTAATGGATCTAACATTAAGAACACAAAACTGAACACAGCGACAGTCAATTTTTGGAGAATTTGTTGTAGTTACTGATATTAAATTATTCAAGTTCACACCACGAAGTGGCAATGGCGCTTGGAGATAACCAAAATTAGCATAATCACGTTGAGTTGTTCTAGAAAATATATTTAACTAGTTTCCACGGGTCTTCTTTCCACCTTTTCCTCCTCTATACCTCAGAACACCATGTGATTTTAGTTCGCCCAGAACTTGAGGACGAGGAGCACAAGCACTTGATCGTAGGCTTCGGAGAAATTTCCTAGAGTATTTCATAGTCAACAAAGGCGAATTATTATGCGAATGGCGGTTAACAACTTGTAAAGTGGAAAACTGATCGTGCAGAAGCCAACCACCAGTTAAGTCGGGGCCAGGATTCAAGGAAAGATCCATAAATATCGTAATGTCTTGAGGAGGATTATGACCAGGCATGAGCAGACTAGTGTAACGGTGTATCGTCCATAAGCAGCGAGGAAGACGTGATTTATGAAAACCATGTAGTGACAGTTGCAGCCGCACAGGAACACGTGCATAAAAGCCAGAAGCACAGAATATACCAATACCTTTCCTAATAGCATAGAAATAAGCGTTTTGCTTGTAACAGTGGCTTTCGTCGGCATAAGTTGTACCAGATATCACAAGACAAGTAAAAAGTACAGTAAATGTAGGAGGAACTAAAAACGTGGCAGCCATGACAGCGCCTCACATTCCCTTCTGTTGGAAGGGAATAATGTTGGAAAAAACAATAAAATAATGTTGGAAAAGTAAAAAATTTTAGCACATAAGAGTCTCTTGAGCCAAGAGTGAAGTTCCTGTGAAAGTTGGTGCACACCTGTGTGTTTACACCACCATCGTAAAGCTTTCTTCGCTTGTCTGCATTGTCAATATGCTCTCCACGCTGTAAACAAATCGAGTTTGTTGCCAAGGATGCAAATTCTTAAAGTTTAATTGTAAATGTTTGTTTCCACTACAAAATATTAAACAAGTATGTCCAATTTTCGGTAATTGTGAAGAAGACCTCCCCAAAAAACCTGTCGGTCGACTGTCGGTCAACTGTCGGCCGTCTGTCGACCGACAGTCGGCCGACTGTTGGCGGTGTGTCGACCAACAGTCGGCCAACAGACGGCCAACAGATTTTGTCCGAAATATAGGCTACCTGTCGGCCGACAGTTGACCAACAGTCGACCGACAGTTGGTAATGTGTCGGTAAGATGTCGGTAACCTGTCGGTAGCTTGTTGGTGAAACGTTATGACAAACTTGAATGTTTTCTCTCGGTTTTCGCTTCATAAACATCCAAAATGTGTAATACATTGACAAGAATAGCCTTTTCTTCCTAGTTTTGGTAATCGCTGCTCAAGACTAGCGCCACGGAAGCCGAAACTAACCAGAGAATTTACGCAATTGCAGCTTTGAATTTTCTTTCCGCCATGTTGGAAAGGTAAACTATGTCCCCAGTCCCTCTCGAATTTATCTGAGAGTCAAGTCTTGAACGGGTATTTATACGTATTTTTTTTTACTCATTGCCGGTCATTTACTTTTGTGTTTATTTGAGGGTTTGAGGAATTGGGACTGTACTGTATTTCATTATTTATTTTAACTTTATTGTTGGTCATTGACTTTCATAGTGTTGGTGGCTCCTAAAGGAGCCGTTTTGTGTGAGGTGAAATATGCCAGATACTTCACTCGTAGAAGCGCGGATCAAACTTAAATGGCAACAGCTGCCCCTCCCTCCTCATGTTGTTCATCACTGGGATGTAGCGCCGGAGTCGTTTTCGGCAGACAACCTCGAGAGCACGCACGGAACCCACTTGGTCACGGAGGACGAGGTCTAGTTCTCTGGAGTCCACCTTCTTAAGTTCGGCTATGGCAACGAAGTCTCTGAGTGTGCTCCGAGGACAGCTCGCAAGACGGAAGGCACAGGCCATACTGCATTTGTTTTCTCTCATACACTGGAGAACCTGGTCATACCAGTCATGTATGCTGGCCAGGCTGTGGGCGCTGACGCGAGAGTCAGTCTGCTGAGGTTGCTGCGTTGGCTGGTCTTCTTGTGGCGCGGGTTGGCCTCTGCGTTGTAATTCTTGCATCTCCGCTCTCAGTTCGGCGATGAGCTTCTTGGCATTCACGAGGCGCCGCTCAAGGTTTTTAACGACCTCATCTCTGGTTCTCACAAGGTTCGCTAACTCTTCGGCCTCTTTCTCGCGTTCCGCCAACTGTTCTTTGAGCTCCTGGTTCTGCTCTTTTTGGTTTTGGAAGGCCTGCCCGACTCTTTTGAAGTCCTTCTGAAGTGTCTCATACATCTTCCTCAGGTCGTCGTGCGAGGTTTCAGCGGAGGCAGATGACTTTGCGCTCTTCTTTCTTTTCTGCTGTGGGCGTTCAGAACAAGAACAGTGCCTATTATCGCCATGGCAAACGCCACACTTATTCTCGCAATGAAAAATAGAGTGGTCGCCGCCACACACAGTACACTTAAGAATTCTTTGAGATGTACTTTGAGACATAATGAATGATCGAAGTTGAAAACGAAATCTATGTGATCGCAAGGCTTCAAATTCAAGGCTTTTAAGTTCTGCCACGGATCCAATGAACAATAGCAACATTTTCATTGGCTTATACCGTGGATCAGTTCACAATTTCATTGGCTTATGCCATGCATCAAATCAACAATAACAACATTTTCATTGGCTTATGCCATGGGTCCAGTCAACAATAACAACAAATTAATTAGATTATTCACATCACATTTGATTGGTTTATAAACTTTTGTAAAATCTGATTGACTAATTTCGATCCGACCATAGGTATTAAATAGGTTGAGTAGAAGTGTGTCTTAACTCATTTCATCATGAATCATCACGAGTTACTTACCTTGATCCAAAGTTGCCATGCTATTTTAACCTTTCTTGTGAATCGTGGTTTGCTGGCTGCCAGGCGTAGGTGCTCTTGTGGAAACCGAATGGTTTTACGAGATAATAACTCTGATGATGGTTATCACTGGGAATGTCCAGTTAACAAGTGCAGAAAACGAAGATCAATCAGAGCTGGTTCTTTTTTCGAAGATTCCAAAATCCCGCTGTCGCAATGGCTGTACATCATCTTCTTGTGGTCAATTGATGAGTCCAACAAAAAGTATTGCTACTAACGGTTTGTCGCCAGCACAGCTGTCACGGCACTTCAGAGACTCCGAGACATCTGCTCCCTGAAAATTCTACACGGCAACGTTAGACTGGGCGGCCGAGGAAAAACTGTAGAAATCGATGAATCCATGTTTGGCCACAAACGCAAGTACAACCGCGGGCGGATCGGTCGAGGCACATGGGTTTTCGGCATGGTCGAAAGAGGCACTGGAAAAGCTCTAACATTTCGAGTACCCAACAGAACGAGAGAAACCTTGGTGACTGGTCTGGTACAGCAATTCGTCGAGCCTGGAACAACAATTATCTCTGACAAGTTTTCACCGTACTTTAACTTGAACAGCCTCGGCTACATCCATGTCATGGTTAACCATTCAGAAAACTTTGTTGACCCTTTCACAGGCGCCCACTCGAACACGATAGAAGGAGTATGGAGTCAAATCAAGAGAAAGCTGAAGGCCATGAACGGGACACTGAAAAGCAAGCTTCCAAGTTACCTCGACGAATACAACTGGCGGAAATGTTACCCTGGTGATCCCTTCGACAACTTACTCGCTGACATCGCTGAGTTCTGCCCACCAAACTAAGTTTGCTTAGTTTGAAAACAAACGGCTCCTTTAGGAGCCACCAAATAAAAAAAAGTCATGAACGAACACTGTGTGATAATTTTGTTAAGCGGCACGCACGCGTCTAAATCAATTATCGCGGCACGCATCCAAGTCAAATTATCGGATTATGACAGATACTAATTAATTAAGGCACAATTCGCGGGTACATAATTCAATTTATTTGTGCTTGAAATTCGGAAGATTAACATTAAGTCATCAAAAGACTAATAGGTATGAATCTGCAAAAATCGAGAACTTTGTTAGTCAAAAGGTAAACATCATTGATACATACATGACATACAGCGCTCGCTAGGCATTGTTGGGCGATTTGTACGTGAAGCCAAGCAACACGACTGAGAAGCTTCCAAAGTAGCTTTCTTGTAGGATTTCAGAGATTGGGATTAAATCACCTCTAAATCTGATTTCATTGATTGCCTTGTTGTCTTTCGCGAATAATATATCCGTTTCGCATTTCAAAAGCTTTCTATGAACATGTCGGAAGAAATCGTTTTACTATCGATCGGTAAGTAAAGTGATGTCTATCGAGATTATTATCGTTTCTATGTCATGTTTAATGCGTGTTTTCTCAACAATTTTCTTCTTTGGGAAACTGTCGGTAGCCTGTCGGTACACTGTCGGTAATGTGTCGGCCGACAGTTAACCGACAGTCGACCGACAGGTTTTTTGGGGAGCTCTTCTTCACAATTACCCAATTTTCTCTTTGACAACGGTTTTCCAAAGTCGCAGTTTCTTCTGAGTAGCCATGCCTTTAGGTTTCAAGCCAGGCCTTCTGGTTAGTTTCCAGTTTCCTGTTCAAATTCACAGAAACTCTGTGACAGAGTTCTTCAGTTTTGGAGTCAACTATAGAAAATGTTGTTGTGGGATCAGATCCCGCAACCTCCTTTCGTTGACTGCCCATATTTTGTTTATTGTGGTGAAGACAACAGCAGGTGTTCGATATTTGATGCCACTCCCGAGATAGCATGTCGATCATTTTTCCCTTGTTAATTTTTTAATGTGACTCAAATCCATTCAGGCAAAACCAGTTGATTTCGCGACTTTGTTCCTCACTCGGTCACTGCACCACCTTGTTGAAGATAGCTTTGCTCACTCATAACTTATAACTTACGAGAGGTTGACTTGTAGCAAGTCTATGTACATCCTTGTTTTCTTGAATTTGGGAGGGGAAACTCTTCAACATACGGCCTTAAATCGGAGCAGTTTACAGCGCCAAAACTGTGGAAATCGATACCTGATTCATATAGAACTATACGATCGTTCAGGGCTTTTAGAAATAGTATTAGAAAACAGGACTTGTCAGGTTCACTAAACTAACCTACTACTCTACTATCAGTCTTTTGCATATTTGTTAATAGTTTTAGCTTTATCTTATTTGTGAAATTTTCTAGTGTTATGTAAATAATTTTTAAATTTTATCTTTTCAATTAGCTATTTTGTTCGTACTTCAGTCATAATTATCTATTTGTTTTTTATTTTTTTCAGTGTATATTACCTGCAAAGTAGCCAGTGAAGTTTCTCCCCAATAGCTAAGGGTGTTTTATACAATAAACTTGACTTGACTTGACTTCCTCTATGAAATAATTTAGTAATAAACTGTCCCTCTTGCTCTTGGTATCAGGCAATGGATGGGCGATTAAAATGCCTTCCCGTGTCAACTGTGAAGCTGACAACTTGGCCTAAAACTTGTGTATCTCGGTAGGAGAACCCAATGAAAAAATTGGATTTTCGGAGATTTTAAGACCTCGAGTACTGCTGGATTAGTTCTAAGGCTACTTCTTCATCGAACAGTAAGTGGTGAAAATGGTTCTTTGGATTTGAACCAATCGTCCAAATCATTTAACTGTTTTTTGGTCGACTGCATTGTCTTCAAGGCAAATTTGCCTTTATCATTGACCATTTGCTGTGCTAAACCGATCGAGTCTAGCCCCTGATTTGGATATACATGTTGTATCCACTGTTGAAGAGAAGTCTGACACAAGTTTTTGAACTCTTGGTTTAATCTGTACTTTGTAGACTAATTAGTTCTGTACCCTGAAGTTCTATTCTCTGTCGCTATGCTCAGCCGAATAGAAAATATGTCTGTTGTGTGTATGAATAGACAAAAAAACAATGATAAATGGAGGAAGTCGCCAGCATCAAGTTTATTATGTTTACCAATAAACGTTGCAACAAAAGCAGGAAAATATAAGGGATATATGCGAAAAATAAAGATACAGAGCTCAAAAAATAGCTACAGTAGATTTACGATATATTATAAGCGCTGACAAGATATGGTGAGCAGAAAATTAACAAAGTTAATGGAGTCAGAACATTTTAAATAATTGATACAAAAGTGCAAGTACAAGTCTACTGTAGATATACCTATAAACCTAATAAATAAAAAAACGAAAAAAGGCAGCCTCGAGTAAACTGTTTGGCGTCAAGTGGTGTGAAATTCACAAGGAGTGGTTAAAAAGGGTGTAATGATCCCAATGGGAACTGAACTAAACAATGTTACCTGGGATGGCATTCTCCTCTTTTAGTTCGTCCCATAAATTGTTGTCATGTCTGTGCTATTTATACTTGACAATAATTTCAAGAGAGATAGTAAGCACTTCTGTACACTCTAACTTGTGCTGTACACTCTGAATTGTGTGCAATGCAAAACGCTCTCGCTGGTGAGTAGCATAGTAGGGATGAAGTTAACCCCTTTTGTGTAGATTTCATATAAACTTTTATGTGCAATAAATTAACATCACAGCCTTTTGTCTTCATCTAATGAATAAAATGCAGTTTATTCTCATTTATTTCCATTTGTCACAACTAACCAGCCAGGCCCTTCCCGTCGAAATGAAAATTTCATTATTAATCAAAACTTTCCAGCCAAATCAGTCAAATGCTAAATAGCGTGCAGGAAGGAGATGGCTTTTCAGCAACAACCCTTTGAAAAAGGCGATTTCATTTGCTGACTGGTCTGGCCAGCCAGTCCTGACAAATGGAAAGTGTCCTGAGATAAGGTCAGGTATAACTTTAACTGTTTAACCAGTTTGACAGGTTTTGTAGTTGTTTTAAAATCGATGAATTGCTGACTAGAAACTAAAAGAAACTATTCCTTGGATAATTCATAGTTAAAAGGAATAAGCTCAATCTCGTTGTGAGATAAAACCACCGAACCGCAATGTAATTATGAGGGTTCTTTTTTCTTGTTGCCGCCCTATTTGTCCATTGTAGACAACTTATTGTTTTGGTTGTGGTTCACTGGTTCTTAGCACACAAATCGTCATATTAATGTCGACGAAATCAAAGTAGCTCTTTACTGCATGCAAAACAATTTCTTACTTTTCCTCCACCACCTCCACATTTCTTTTGGAGCAGGCTTTTTTTGTTTTTTATCTTTACCTGCTCTTCCCTTTTCTTGCATGTAGGCCTTAACATTCTTTGCAGGGCCAAACAATATAGTTCGGTGCACTTGGTTGCAGCCAACTCCCATCCCAAATGCGATAGTTGCCGTTCGAATTCTTACACACCCCCTTGTTGCTCTGGAAAGACTTCAGAATATGCTCATTGGTAAAGGTGGGTGTTAGGGATCTTTGTAGTAGTGTATACTAGGGCACATTGGTTGATTGTCTGGCAGTAGATAATTGGTGGAGTTTCCCCTGTACTATTTTCAGAAACTTCATTGGCCAACCAGAAAAGGTAGTTGGACAATTTGGCATTTTTTTATTTATGCAAGTAACTATATAAAAAGCGTTTTCTTAG